CACACACACACACACACACACACACACACACACACATACACACACACACACACACACACACACACACGAGCGGGGCAACTGCCCGTTTTTGTTTTGCTATCAGATTCTTTTTTTCTCTCTTTTTATTTGTTTTTGCCCCTAAATCACCATCGTACGGCCGACGTCCGTAATTCCATACGCCCGTCCGTCCGTCCGTACAGACGTGCTGTACGTGGACCCCCCGTACGACGTACGGGAGACAAACTGCCGGCCTGTGCTCGTGGTAGCTGCCGGACTCGGCCCAGGGATGCAAAGGTAGTGGGACCAGCGCTGTCTTTTCATCGCACCGAGTTCCCTTTAACCGGGTTATGGGATGCGTATGGAGCCGTGGTCACAATCAGACTAAAAAGGAAAGAAAGAAGAAGAAAAGAAAAGTGAGAGGAAGCCGCTTGCCTACCCTGTGCACCAATCTGGGTCACTAATATGGATCCAGGGGGGGGTGGGGGGCGGGGGGTGAGCCCCCCCTTAAGAATCTTAACTATGTAATAGAAAAAAAAAGGGGAATTCAAAACTCCTCCTGGTCACCTTTTCAGTTTGAAATAGGCAAGCGAAGACAAAGTGGCGCCAATGTCATCGTTTAAGTTTCGGAATGTGCAAGTTTAGTGGGGCTTTAAACTGTGTCCGGTTTTTGAAGTGGCCGGAATGCAGATTTAGCGGCGGCTTTTTTTGCCCTGTTTATTTCGAGAACGGCTAATTTTAGTTGCCTATTCGAAACGCTAGGTGTGACCTAGGAGCCGTTGCCCCACACACAAAATACAATCACCGCGAATCGCAAATCAGCGAAACGGAATTTTGAAAAATTCAAAAATCTCCAAAAATAAACCGACTTCACTGAACTTTTTCACGTCAAGGGCCTGTTTGTCACGTCCTTCAGACCTGAGTACAGTGCAAGCAGCAAAGCCCGCAGCTCACCCTCTGGCAAACCTTGCTATAGATCTGCACCTGCACGCATGAGAGAGAGAGAGAGAGAGAGAGAGAGAGAGAGAGAGAGAGAGAGAGAGAGAGAGAGAGAGAGAGATGGATGAAAGGGCACACCATGGCACCTTGTGAGTAAATTATCTAGTAGACATATTTAATTAATAAGAAAATTTCGGTATTCGGTATTAAATTATCAATTTAATGAAAAAAGTACACTAGCCAGTGGAAAGTTTTCCTCAAATGATTGTGGCAGAAGCACTGCACCACATGTGCTCAGGTTGTGCACGTCCTCACTTCAACCCACATCAGACTGGCAGTGTGCTGTACATCGTGTTCTGCACCGGGGGGGGGGGGGGACCAAAATTTCGAAAAGAAATTGTTTGTGTACCTATTTCAGCAACTGTCGATCCTGTGCCCGGAAGCCCGATCTGCACTGCAAAGCACAGAAAAGACACCGTCGGCCACGTTGCTACTACCGTGGGACTTGTGATTCAAAACGAGTGCATTCTTTATTATGTCCTAGTAATGGAGCAAATTTAAAGACCATGGCGCAGGGAAATATGTCCTAGTAATGGAGCAAATTTAAAGACCATGGCGCAGGGAAAAACCAGAAGAAAAATCACGAGCAGGATGGTCCATAACCAACGAATACAAATCAAAATGGACGCCTACCCGGAGGCTACCCCACAGCAATTTGAACTCAATTTAAAGTACCACACCCAGCCCAATGCTGATATGTATGCTTTAGGGTGGTGAAGGTACAGTGTAGTCTTCTTGCCAACCACTGCCTGCATTGACTGACACCAACTGCAACATCTGCTATCGTGGTGCTGCTGCCGGCCGTCGTTTAGAACGAACCTCAACCCAGACAAACCTTAAGCCCCTACATGACAGCAGCCAAGTAAGCATGAGCTGCATGACCAAAGGGCACACCAAGAATCTCTCCTGGTCCTCCTGGATTCTCTGCTACAAACATAACATTCTGTGTTAACCAGACTCGGTCGCGAACTCACGGTCAATTCTCCGTGATGCTCAGAGTTCCCTCGGCGGCTGTTTCGGGCCCATTTCATCTGGCCTCCTACTAACCTCCCTCTTGGTTTCCCTCAGCTTCTCCTTCCTCTCATTATGAGTCTCATAGCTTCAAATTGTCAGAGCAAGTGACACACATCCCCACCCAACACATCATAATTCTCTACCCAACCCCCACAATGGTCCACGTTGCCGGCAAGAAGCGATTTTATTGACAAACACTAAAGAGAGTGACCTGCAATCAGAATTTGGCTGCAATTAATATGCCCCTTGCATGCCACGTTCTCAAGGGATAATTGGTAGAAATCGCCCACACCAAAACCTTTTAGGTTTTGGGCGCCCGAAACTGGGCCGTTTGGTACTACCGGCCCAATGTTTTCCATGTGGGGTACTACAGGCCCACGCGTGGCTCCAAGGGCCCACACATGGCTCAAAGCGCCCACTCCAATACCAACTGCAGAGCCGTGCAGACTGTGCAACTTGAAAAAAGCAGGACTAGCTTCCCACCTACTCTCCACCATTATCCGCTGAATCAGGGAGGTGTACCTTAGCAGCAACCCCTTCCAGTACTTCCAAAACATTGCCTTGCCCTGTCATCGGGTCCGGTCGATCATTCCTCTCCATGCTTGCACAGCGTAGTCCCGAGCGTGCAACATCTTGAGCCAGGTCCACGTCACAGCAACCTGCATTTGAATCGAGAGCACACCAGCTGCAGACTGTGCGACTTGTGAAAAGCACGACTAGCTTGCCACATACTCTCCTCCATTATCTGCTGAATCAGGGAGGTGTAACTTAACAGCAACCCCATCGAGTATTTCCAGAATGTTGCCTTGGCCCGTCATCATGCTCGGCCTATCGTTCCTCTCCAGACTTGTGCACCGTACTCCCAGCCTAGCAACCTCTTGAGCCAGCTCCACGTCCCAGCATCCTGCGTTTGAATCAAGAGCATTTTTGAAGGCATTTGGATCTTCAACAGTGGCTCTTATCTTCCTCAAAGCGTTGTGGAACTGACCCGTCAGCACCTGGAGGAGAGTGATTCCAAGCGCATAGATGTCTGCTTTCTCATCAAAATTCTCAGACTGGAAAAGCTCGGGTGCCATGTACTGGTAATTGTTTCGTAGGGACAGGCATAGCACTTCGGCGGCCATTTCCGGTCCTCCAAGGACCCCCCGGATGAGTAATCCTTGGTCAACCCCACCCAGCTTAGCCCCAAAGTTGCTATCCAGAAAAATGTTTGCCGGCTTGATAGCAGAGTGAATGATTGGGCCACCTGTCGCCAGCTCACTGCAGTGAAGAAAGCACAGGGCTTGAGCAACTTCTGCCATAACCCGCAATCGTGAATACCATGGAAGGGATCGCCTTCCTCCTGCTGCCGAAGCCGGAGATGCGGAGATCCAGTCTTCCAGGCTTCCGTTGGCCACGTGCTTATAGACAAGGCAGTGCCTCTCCTCGCAGACTCCCAGTAGTGTCATTACATGAGGGTGCCGGAGAGCGCTCAATCTGTCGACGACTTCTGTCTTGAATGCTATGCGTTAGTTCTCCATCATGAGATCATCCCTTAACTTCCTGACCGTGATGGACATCTTGTAGCTAAGTATACCTTGGTACAAACATCCATAATCCCCTTCTCCAAACTTATGACTTGCATCGAAATTGTCTGTTGCAGCCTGGAGGTCTTCCGCAGTCCACGCCTGAGGTGGAAATGTTTTATTTGACACATCCCTCTTTGTTTTCAGTTTTTGCACTTCAGTCTCCAGCTGTTTGATCCTGTTTGCTTGTGTTTCGTCTCTTGATCGGCCCATCATTCGTAAGGTAGACTCCTCCAGTTGTTTCTCGAGCTCTACGATTCTCTCTGCTTGCTTCTTGACGGTTTCTTTCAGCTCCTTTTCTTCTTGTGCTTGGGTCTGACTTCTGATGTCTAGAACAACAACACCTCCTTCACCTCCAACAATTAGCGCACTAGGAAACATGTCGCTACAAGGGGCCAAAGCGAGTGTGGGGGGCCCATTCCATCCACTGAAATAGTATTGTATTGGTTGATAGTTTGACTCATTCCAAACTACAATCTTGCCATCCTCTGATGCAGAGAAGATGTAATGAGACCAAACAATATTTTTGACACCCTTCTCATGGCCTTTCATTGTGGTCGCCAGACATATCTTTGTCTCGTAGTCCCACACGTGAAGCATACCATAATTGTCACCTACGGCCAGAAGGGACTTGTCGGAGTCTCTGCAGAAGGTCATTGCATTGTTCGATTTGTGAGGCATCTCAATTTTCTGATGAAGGGTGAGGGTGGAAGTGCTCCATATTTCGATTGTCTCAGGATGAAGCATTGCAAAATATGATGCGGTATAGGCAACATGACAAATGCTATCATTGTTCTCTATTTTGCTCTGACTCTGGAGCTCTAATGTTTCAGTGTTCAACGTGTCGGACTCCTTCCATGACCACAGTTTTACAGCTTCGGATGGATAGGAATATGTCAGCACAAACCCATGTACCGAATGAGCAAAAAACCATGATATGGCTCTGATATGTGCCTTTACAGATCTTAAAACATAATAACCAACACCAGTGTCTGAAAACTGGATTCTGCAAACACGGAGATTACCCTTGTGAACCAAAACGAGGTGCTCTTCCTTAAAAAACAATACTCCTGTTAGTACACCAAAAGAACCAGAACCTAGTCCATTGCCAAAATCCGCAACCATCCTACCACTTTCATAGTTCCATATTTGGACCTCTTGATTTTGATAAGAAAAGAAAAGGAGCCATGGCTTCGTCTTGTGCACACCAATGGAGTGAACATTCTTGGGTCTTTCCGAAATCCCACCCTCACGCCTCCAAAATCTTGGTATGAGCTGCAACACACTTCCCTGATTCCTATTTGTCATTGTGATAGAATTGGAGTCTCAAACAGTCTCACTCCCTTATTCAAGCCTTCTCCAGAAGGGCGTGCGCCGTGGACCTTGAGATGCTTTTCGATGAACCACCTTCAGCTACTCTTGAGACTCGTCAATTGACAGGCAATAACAGATACGTCCTCCCCCAAGTACTGACCCAACCTATAAAATGGATACCTGTTCAAACCAGAAATGCCACAGTTATGTTTGTTTTGGACACAAACGCACACACACACACACACACACATGAGAGAGAGAGAGCTCTGAATACATTTTGAGTGGGGTAACTAGGGCACAGTCATGAAAGCAGTTTCTAAATGCATTTCAAACTGCGTTTTTTTAATTCCAGTCCCATCGCAAGTTTACTATGCAGTCGGAACTCCGATTTGCAAAAAAGTCGCACCGCGGAGTTTGGAACTGCAGTTCAGTCAGGCAGGTAGCCGGGTTTTTTTTTTTTTTTTTTT